GCAGCCAGGGAAAGACATGCTCGGTTGCCTTCCCGCAGGCCAGTCTGCAAGTCCCCTCCACTCAGCGCCCCACTGCCTGCCCTCATCCCAACTCTTCTAGGGCAGAAATGGCAGAGGGTGTGGGGAAGGGGCTTTCTGGTCAGGTTGCTAGAGGGGAAGCCTGCGAATCAGTCTCAAGTGCAGATGATACACACGGGAGGTTCAAGGGCTTTCTGCAGTTCACAGCCATCCTCTATATAGCCCCTTCTTCTGTAAGCCAGTTTTCAGAGGACTGTGACTCAGCTGCAGGAGCAAGACAAAGGCTAGAGCAGTGGTGAGCAACCTGCAGGCCATGGGCCATATGCAGCCCGTCAGGGTTCTGTTTGTGGCTTAAGAGACATTTCATTCACCAGTGTCCACATCCGGAGGGTCAGATTATGCTAGTTTCTGTCTCTGTCATTTTTTCCCCTACCACTATTACTAAAGTGACAAGGGCATAGGAAGGGAGGGCTGGTCACACGCAACACTGACTGTGAGAGTTCTGTGCTCTCTGCATCCAAAGTGCTGTTCCAGTTCAATTGGCACACCCCACAAATTCCAGTTAGCAAAACTACCCCACCCCAGAAGACCACCTTGATTATAAGTCTTGTGGCCAACTGAGATGAAGAGCCTATGCTGCCCGTTGTTGGTATAGAGCTTGCAGTCACTGCCTGACCCCTCTCCTCTTCCCAAATACTTTAAGCAGTGTGGAGCTGCTGGAATTTTTAATCCAGAAATTTCTTATGCTTCTATTTCTGAAAAGTAGCTGTTTAGACCCATCAGGATGCTGGCCCACATCCTTATTTTAAATGAGATATAGCAAACCGAAAGGCATTTCCTAAGGAGATTTAATAGACATAATTAAGGTGGCTACTGTCAATCCAGACTAGTAGCAAATGCACATTTTAAAGAGAAAAGCAAAGGCAGTTGCAGGTTTATTTCACACTACTTCAATGTTTGCGCACGCACACACAGGTTACCTTACCAGTTCAGCTAGCCTTGCACTGGATGTGCCTGGAGTTGGATAATGCAACTTCAGGAACGGTGTAGGCCACGCAGCATCAAGTTGCAATTCAAAGAGCACTTGCTAGCAGTCTACACTGAAGTGTGTGATAGGTCATGCTGTATCCTCATTTTCAGCAGCAAAATTGAATCAAGAAGCTAGGAGTCCATTTAAATCCTGCTGCTAGGCCAATCCAGGCAGAAGTTAGTTCAGTTCTACCCAATGCTGCAAACTAATGGAAATACACCCAACTGCATCCTGATCCAACTCTCAGCCTCTTCCAGCCTTCTCCATTACCAAAACAGAAGTGGGGCTGGCTTTCAGCAACACTGCTTCTCATTCAAAGTAACACTGGCTGTACCTGGAACATAATGGACAGCTGAAACTTCACTCTGTTAGGAGTTTCAGGCCCCATGCAGTAGGAATAGTAAGTACAGCAGGTCAAGTTATGCTAACAATACTGGGTGGCTGCGTCTAGACTGGCAAGTCTTGCCAGCTGTCTACACTGGCCGCTTGAATTTCCGCAAGAACACTGACGATCTCATGTAAGATTGTCTGTGTTCTTGCGGAAATGCTATGCTGCTCCCATTCGGGCAAAAGCCCTCTTGCGCAAAAGCATTTGCGCAAGAGGGCCAGTGTAGACAATGCGGTATTGTTTTGTGTAAAAAAGCCCCAACTGCGAAAATGGCGATCAGGGCTTTCTTGCGCAAAACTGCATCTAGATTGGCATGGACGCTTTTCCGCAAAAAGTGCTTTTGCGGAAAAGTGTCCGTGCCAATCTAGATGCTCTTTTCCGCAAATGCTTTTAACGGAAAACTTTTCCGTTAAAAGCATTTGCAGAAAATCATACCAGTCTAGACATAGCTGGCAAGAGGATCAGGATGAAACAGCAGGAGCTGGATTGAGGTGGGGGTAGTGGAATGGGGGAGGGGAGGTAAGAGGGCAGTAGGAGCTGCTGCCCATGACTGAAGCCCTGGTGCCTCATTACACCTCACTGGTGTAGCGTAGGTAGGAAACAGCCCAGACGGCTCTGATTCCACAGCTGTGTTTTGAGACATCTTGCCTGCTACAACTGCCCTTTTAGGGTAAGACTGCTGGATAAAGGAAGCAGGCCACAGTGGGTATCAGAATCAGTGGTTATGAGATGGATCTAGTTACTGACCAATCAAGAGGACTGCATGCTACAAACCACACAGGATAAGATTCTAGCCAAGAGCACTGCTTGGTGCCTCAGACCTGTCTGCTTTGATTGTTCATTTCAAGGCAGCTCAGTTAGGGAGGACAGCTTGCAGCCTAGAATCATAGAGCTGGAAGAGACCTCAGAAGGTCATCAAGTCCAGCCCCCTGCTCTAGGCGGGACCAATTCCAACTAAATCAACCAGCCAGGGCTTTGTCAAGCCGAGACAAACATCTCTAGGGATGGAGACTCCACTACTTCCCTAGGTAACCCATTCCAGTGCTTCACCACCCTCCTAGTGAAATAGTTTTTCCTAAAATCCAACCTGGACCTCTCCCACCACAACTTGAGACCATTGCTCCTTGTTCTGCCATCTGTAAAGAGAGATTCTATTTTTCGCCGCACGTTTCCTTTATTTTGTACATCAG